CTTCAAAGGACAACAGACCGTATGGCAACAACAGTATCCTGGCAGATGTCAACAAACACATATTAAAACCAGTTCATCTTCACCCCCAACTACCCCCCAGTCACAAACTCAATAGTTCAGAACTCAGTAAAGAAGCCACCCCATGTTTATATTAATATGTTACCTTCGCTTGGTACCAGAATGTTTCTCTTGATTATAATCCACTCCTTAGTTCGGGTCCTGGTATAAGAGGGGTTCAACAAGTATTTGTAAATCAATAAATTAGAGGAAATCTCACAAAGTTGGAAATAGGTAATTTTTGTTGGGAAAATCCTCTAATGATACAAGTAGACATCAAAGTGGCCAATTAGAATAATTTAGTACAGGATGCTTCTACCACAGTTCATTATTCCAGTCACAATTGTTTGGTGCAGATCAAAAGTATCTCAAGTCCTGAAGGAGTTCTGAAACCCGGCAATTATGAACAGAGTAGCACATGGAAGATATGGCTCTCTCTCTCTCTCTCTCTCTCCACACTCACACACACACACACACACTCACCCATACACACACACACACATATATATAGCCATATTTTATATATGTATATGTATTAAAAACAGTGGACTGTGATTTTTACAAACTTATAAATATATATATGTGTGTGTGTGTATATATGTTTGTAAAAAATCACAGTCCACTGTTTTTAAAAGTCTCACAACAAAGTGATGTTTGTTGAGGTCTCACCAGGGAGGGCTTTTGTGAAAATTGTTAAAAATAAATCACACTGTTTCTGGCAAGGTTTCCTTGGGGAAAGTTAGATACCAGATTATCCTTAACTTCAAGTTAATTTGTGTATATCAGACAACTAACTTCAGTCTTTCATTTCTTATCAAGGGAAAAAATGGTTATGAATCCATAGTTGAAAAAAGGAGGGGGATAGAGAGGATTAAATAAATTAAAGGAAGGAGAAATTCATACAGGATTAAAAAGCCAGTCATTTTGCTGCCAGACCATCACCATTGAAGGAACATTTAGAACAAAAACATGACCATTTCAATTTTTTTAGAATTTAAATAACTCAGAGACTGACTTAAAAGGAAAGAAATGTAAAAAGTATCCATAAGGAATCATTGTTCCTTGAATGTTGGTTTGAAGGCTTGTAATAGGGCATAGGAATATCGCATATTGGAAAAGTCAACTTGAACCCACTGCACTTTTTGAGATTATTGTTTTTATAATTTGCTGCTCCAAATAAATAATATGCAAGACCCAATCTCAACTTCAGGGCAACAGCAGGCAGCACTGGGTCATTTAGTTATCTTTGATATCACTGGCTCTTCTTGGGCTGTGGTCCCTACCATTTCCCCTGTGCCCTTATATTGGCATTGCCTTTGTCTTCTGCTGAGAGGCAAAATGAATGAACTCCTGGCTGCATCAAACTAGCAGAGCAGGAGGGAACAAGGAGGTGGGGGTAGGGTAACCTTTGGAACCAGTGATATCCTTTATATTTATATCAATTGTATTGAATCAATTGCACCTCATTAAGAAAGACACTCCTAACTTTAGGTGTTTCAAGAAGTCTCATAAATTTGAGACAAGGCAAGAACGAGGCAGTCAATGAAAATGTGAGGGCACATTGCAATATCAGGAGTTTGAGAGGGCAGAGACTTGAGAGAACTTCTTATTTAAACTATTTAAAAAAATATTTTATCAAAGTACTATTTGCATACATTTAACAATCCAAAAGCTAATAAAAAGGATTACAACAGAAAAAAAAAAAAGTGGCTGCTTGTCAGCCTTCCTCAGATCCCCACTTCACAGGATAACATTTTCAGCTCTTTTAGTTGTGGTTTCTAGCTCAGGTGGTCACTGTCTTATGATGATTCAACAGGACTTTTTGGCTTTCTAATGGTGTGAAATTGACAGGCATTCAGCAGAAGCCATACTTTGAGTACCTAGACTATCATTATGTTTTTCATTTACAGTGTAGTATTCAATGAATTACACGAGATGTTCAACACTTTATTATAAAATAGGCTTTGTGTTAGATGATTTTGGCCATCTATAGACTACTATAAGTGTTCTGAGCATGCTTACAGTAGGCTAGGCTGAACTATGAAGCTTGGTAGGTTAGGAATATTAAATACATCTCAACTTACAATATTTTCAGCTTATGATGTGTTTATCAAGCTGAGGTACATTTGTATTTGCCTTTGTGTTTCCAATTAACAAAATTATGTTACAGTTCTTGATTTTTCATAGTGAGCTATCATCCACTGACTTGCTGCTACGGAAGATGAGGATTGAACTCTTGTATCACCAGTCACTCTGCCACCCCACTTACTTTCTTTCCCTCTTCCTCTTGATAGAGTTTCATCACATTTTTAAATAAATCTGTAGCCATAGTTGGCTTTTAAAATAATTATTATGGACCAGGTGCTGTGGCTCATGCCTGTAATCCCAGCACTTTGGGAGGCCAAAGTGGGCAGATCACTTGAGGCCAGGAGTTTGAGACAAGCATGGCCAACACAGTGAAACCCTGTCTTTACTAAAAATACAAAAATTAGCCTGGTATAATGGTGCACGCCTGTAATCCCAGCTACTTGGGAGACTGGGGCATGAGCATCGCTTGAACTCTGGAGGCGTAGGCCGAGATTGTACCACTGCCCTCCAACCTGGACAACAAAGCGAGACACTGTCTCAAAAAAAGATAATGCTAGCAATAACAATTATAATTGTATTATTAGAACTAGGTAAATATTGTTCACTCCTAAACCAAGTGGGGTACTGTGATTTCAATCTCACCCTATTTCAACTTTTCATTTTTCTTCAAGCTAATTGCCTCTTTAATTCTTCAAATGTTTGACTCCTTTGAAACCTGCCTAAGTCTTTTCAGACACTCCATTTTCCACCTCTAGGACAATGATCTTAGCTGGGAAAGCTGGGGTAACATGACTCTGCTCCACATATCCTTCTCCAGCACCATACCTGACTAATTTTTATATTTTTAGTACAGACAAGATTTCACTGTGTTGGCCAGGCTGGTCTTGAATGCCTGGCCTCAAGTGATCTGCCCACCTTGGCCTCCCAATGTGCTGGGATTACAGGCATGAGCCACCATGCCCGGCCCATAATAATTACTTTAGAAGCCACATGTGGCTACAGATTTAATTAAAAATGTGATGAAAGCCAAAAGAAAGAGGGAGAGGAAGGCGTATCCTCATAGTGATGGGCAAGAGAGAGAAAAAGGTAGCAGTGAAAACGTGCAAGTGTGTTTGCATCCTCTGCATGTGTTACATTTGCTAACGCCTCACTGGCTAAGGCAAATCATATGGCCAAATTCAGTCAAGAGAAAGAGACTCTGACCCTTTAGTAGGAGAAACTGCAAAGTCACATTGAAATGGGCACTGACACAAAAAGAGTTGGAGGATTAAGACCATAACTTAATAATTCTGCCAGTCATTAACCAGGTGACCATATATGCCTTGATGTGTTTCAAGATTCCCTAGCTGGTTCTCTCTCTTTTTTTTTTTTTTTTTTGAGACAGGGTCTCACTCTATCACTCAGGCTGGAGTGCAGTGGCATGATCTCAGCTCACTGCCACCTCCATCTCCCCATACTAGGCTCAAGTGACCCTCCCACCTTAGCCTCACAAGCAGCTGGGACTACAGATATGGGCCATGATGCCTGGGTAATTTTTTTATTTTTTGTAGAGATGGGGTTTCACCATGTAAGCAAGGCTGGTCTCATGCTCCTGGACTCAAGTGATCCACCCACCTCGGTCTCCCAAAGTGCTGGGATTACAGACATGCGTCACTGTGCCTGGCCCAGTTTATTCTTTGTTGTGCTCCTGTGCCAGCCACTACTCTAGTCTTAATTGCTTATAGCTTTATAAAAGGTCTTGATATCTTATAATGTTAAGTCTTCCAGATTTGTTTTTTCTTCATGATTGCCTTGAATATTCCTGGCTCTGCATTTTAGAATCAGTGTGTCAATTTCCACAAATGTATCTCTTGGAATTTTAGTTAGGACTACATTAAATCTGGCAAGCTTTACTGGAGCCCTGTGCTCCTAGAAAATAGTAAAGATCAAGAAATCTCTTCCACCTCTTGAGTCCCAGGAAATCGCTTAGTGCAAAGAACAACCCTTCTGCATATGACTTAGATAAGATTCCCAGGTGCCTTCCTTATTTATGTATGACATACTCGGTCACAGATCCTCCAAATCTCCATTCTTTGCTTCATAAATGATTAGCTAAACTCTTAGTACTAAGTGATTAATCTAGATGAAACATCTGCTAACTGGATTTAACTAAACTAGAGTCTGACTTCTCTCCTTCCTCCAACCCCTTGAACTTTGACTTGCTCTTATGGTTAAACAAGCATTGTATGCCAATGAAGGGCCACTCTGACTTAAAAAATAAAAATTTCCTGGAACAATGATCTAATCACGTCATCTTGCTCACCTTAACTGCCAGCTCTACTCCCCAAAACCTAGTCCTTTCTAGCCTTGTTTACTGTACATCTCTACAAAAAGAAAAGCCTGACTTTTAAGTGCTTGCAAATGTTAGTAATGAAGAGATTCCCCTATTGCAATAGTATCCCTCATTCTATTGTAAATGTCCTCTTCTCCTTATTTTAATAATCTCTGAATAAAGTCTCTTTTTAAATACATTCAGCTTCATTTTTATTTGAAAAACCGTATGAGTCAATTTGAAAATTAGTAGATTAATGATAGCAAGTTTTTCAGTCCATGAACATGGTATAGCCTTCCACTTATTTAGGTCTTCCTTAATCTCTTCCAGTAATATTTTGTATTTTTCAGCATAGAAATTGTATATCTCTTTCTTTAGTTGTACTGCTAATTAGTAGATGTCTTCTGATGCTATTTTGGGAATGCAGAAAACAATTCTCCAAAAGATGGTGCTTTGGCATGCTAAGTGCCTTTAAAATGAAAGGCCTCAGAAAGAAGTTTCAAAACCAAAGTCTCTCTCTGACCCTCCCCCACCTCCCTGACTCTCTGATCCTCTTTCCCAAAGCACTGAGAGAAACTCTGAAATTTATTTATCTAAGAAAGCTTCTTTTCAAAACACATGCATTTGTCTTAAGACCCTCTCCCTAAGAATCCCATCAGTTAACCAGGAAAGATCAACCAGCAGAGCAGAGACTGAGAATCATCACCACATCTAAACAAATTTTTAATTTGAGAGCAGCTCTAAGAGATTACCTTTGCTCTTGTGCAGTTCTACCCCTTGCCTTCCCCTTAACTTGTCCTACCCAGCTTCCAAAGACAATCATTTACAAAATAATGTGTGCCTCCTAAATCCATACATCTCTTCCCTATGAAGAGAGTAGTTAAGTTTCAATCATCTAGCCCCTCTTCAAGTCTCATAATTTGTGTATGGCCCCTGTGAACATAATCATGTTAAAACAAATTCTGTATGCCTTTTCTTCCAATTAATCTTATTTTGTCAGTACATTTTCAGTGAACCTTTGCAGGGTAGAAGGTAAGCTTTCACTTGGCCCCTCCATTATTATAAATGATATTTAAAATTTTTACTTTCTAAGTATTTGTAGCTGGAGCATATATTTATTTTTTTACTAAAATTAGTTATTATAGGAATGTGTCTACAGAATTTAAAAATTTTATCTACACAAACATGCTATGAATACTGGTAAATTTGTTTATTTGCTTTTAGTTCTTATGTTTTTGTTTTAACTTATTGCTTTATTGTACTGACTATGATCAACAGGACGGTATTTAAATGAGACAGGAGGCATTCTTATCTCATTCCCTATCTTTGAGTAAAAGATTTCAATAGTTCACTATTAAGTATTATAATTTGCTATAATTTCTTAACAATTTTTGTATGCATTTGTGATCAGACTAAGGAAATGCTATTGCTGTTTGTTAAGAGTTTTACCAATTAATAGAAGATACTTTTTGCACCAGAATATATTCATAGAGGTGAAAATTGAGGCACGTTATCTTTACATTTCTCTTGAAAAATCACATGGCAAGGAAGTTGCTTCAAAAACTACAACTTTTAACTTCAGTTCCAAGTAAAATACTATAAATATTTCCTTCACCACATCTCTGAAGAATATATCATCTTTTATAGGTTTGCATGTTTCACCAGCTGCAGTTTCATAAGTAAAAGTTGGGACCATGCGCAGTGGCTCACGCCTGTAATACCAGCACTTTGGGAAGCTGAGGCAGGTGGATCACTTGAGGTGAGGAGTTCAAAACCAGCCTGGCCAACATGGTGAAATTTCATCTCTACTAAAAATACAAAAATTATCTGGGCATGGTAGCAGGTGCTTACAATCCCAGATACTCCAGAGGCTGAGGGAGGAGAATTGGTTGAATCCCAGAGGCAGAAGTTTCAGTGATCCAGACTGCACTCCAGCCTGGGCAATAGAGTGAGAATCTGTCTCAAAAAAAGAAAAGAAAAGTTGGTTAATTATAACTTATTAATATTCATGCACTGGGGTGAGGAGAAGAGAATACATTACACAATGTATATGGAGGGCAATTTGTGAATACATATTGAAAGCTTTACTGTATGCACATCATTTGACCCTGAGATATTTTCTTAAAGTTGTATTTTAAAATATGAAACTCAGTAAGTATATATTATGTATATACAATAAGATTTATTGAAACATTTTTAATAGCAAAAGGAAACAATGAAAATATCTAGCAATAAATAAATGAACATGTATGGTACATCCATATAATGAGATTCTATGTAGCCATGAAAAATTACATGTGACTGCACTCATTGCTTTTAAATATGGTGTCAGTATGTAAGATTTTTAAAAAACCAAACAGCACAGATGATAGAAAATCATTTCTGTTAAAAACAAGCTATATGTATATAGTGCAAAGGTACATTCAAAATGTTAATAGTAAACATTTAATTACTTACCCAAATGTCTATAGTACACATGCTTAGATATATATGTTAAAAGTAGCACCATAAGGAAGCAATGTTGAAACCAGAAAAAATAATGTCGTCAGTCACATGTCAACAGTCATTTGACCTTGATGAGAGTATTTGTTGCTGAAAATAGTGACTATGCATGGGACCTATTAGGAAACTATTCATGTAAAATTGTAGGCACTATTAAAATCTCAAACAACATATACTGGCAATCATTAATAAACTGAGGCCAGGGACGGTGGCTCACACCTGTAATCCCAGAAATTTTTGGAGGCCACGGCATGTGGATCACCTGAGATCAGGAGTTTGAGACCAGACTGTTCAACATGGTGAAATGCATCTCTACTAAAACCAAAAAAATTAGCCAGGCATGGTGGTACATGCCTAAAATGCCAGCTACTTGGGAAGCTAAGGCAGAAGAATCGCTTGAACTCAGGAGGCGGAGGTTCCAATGACCTGAGACCATGCCATTGTACTCCAGATCGGGCAACAAGAGTGAAATTCTGTCTCAAAATAAATAAATAAATAAAAATAAATTCAACAAAGTGAGTTCTAATCTCTGCTGTATCACCAAACTGTCGTAATAATGATTATCACTTGTTAAACATATATATGCCTAACACTTGCTAAGTATTCTGTACATATTCAAAGTCCCCATCATTCTGTAGAAGAGAAAAACTAAGGCCCAATGGGTAAGATTTATCATTTATCTGTAAGATAAAATTACATTGAAAACGTGTAATATATAAAATAAAAAAATTAACGTGAGATGCATATGTATAAAGACCTATAACTCTCTAATTTGTAAAAGAAATTTGCTGCGACCATTCTTATATTTACCTGATCCTGTTCTGTTACACACTCAAAGAACTTTAAGCATTTGACATGCACGATTAACTGACATTATAACAGAACAGGTCAAGCTGTTTACTCATAAATCTCTGTCCATGTTGATGCACTTGAAGCATTATCAAAACAGCACTCTCTTTAGTTACTAGTTAGTTAGATAAAGGGTAGACAGATAGTCCCCAACTTATAATGATTCAACTTATGATTTTGTTTTTGTTTTACTTTAGGATGGTGTGAAAGCCACATGCATTCAGCAGAAACAGAACTTTGAATACCCACACAATCACAGTTTTTCAATTTCAGTATGTAATTCAATAAATTACATGAGATATTCAATATTTTATTATAAAATAAACTTTGTGTTAGATCATTCTGCCAAACTGTAGGGTAACATAAATGCTCTGAACACACTTAAGATTAGGCTAAATTATAATGTTCAGTAGGTTAACTGTATTAAATGCATTTTGACTCACTGTATTTTAAATGTACACTGGATAAAACCCCATGGTAGCCGAGGAGCATCCATATAATTCACATTAAACTCTCCTCATCCTTAATGCCTCCAAGTGATTAAAAAAAACATTCATTTTCTCTGTATCTTGTCAAATTGGTCAATGCCCTCCATTAAGCAAATATTGGATATTTATAATACCACCCTGCCTAACAAATCTACAGTGACAAAAATTAGAGCACTGGTTTTGTAGGACTGGGAGTGTTTAGAAAGGAGAGAATGGATTGCAAAAAGACTTAAGGACTCTTTTGGGGGCAAAGAAAATTTTCTATATCTCGATGGTAATGGTGGTAATTTCATGTGTGTATGTGTTTGTCAAAACTAATAGAATTGCACACTTTAAATAGATGTAGTACATTGTATATAAATTACTCCTTAATATAGCTCATTAAACAAACAAACACACAGCTCCCTAGATGCATAGCACCCTCAGGAGAACTGCATAATGAAGCAGCAAGTAGAGTTGCTGTGCCCATGTTTTCTGAAGCTTATATTTGCAATTTCTCTAGCTCAGTAAGATAAACCCAAAAGCCACTTTTCAGACCTTCAAGGAATATTCCATTTTAAATATTAATATCTTTACCATTTAGAAAAGTTTTACCATGATCTCAGTACACAAGACACTGCACAGAGCATTTTTTTTTAAAATTGCCTTGATTTAATTTGTTTTTGTTTGTTTTACAGCTGGGGTTCAAGTATCTGTTTGAAGTATGTATTATTGTTTAGAGAAAAACTCCGTCTTTTAAAAGTCCTCATCCCTGACAGTTTGTCACCTTATAATTTTTCAAAACTGAAGGCAGATAAAGAAAAAATAGAGTAGGCATTGAAAAAGAAAGAATATTTTCAGAGATATTGAAACTAAAAAAAATCACAATTCACCAACAAATTTTGAGCTGTAATTATAAAACATATTGCTAAGTCTCTTAGAGCCTACACCAGAGAACTGAAAAAGCACTCAGACTTCTAAAGTTCTGTGAAGTTAGAATAATTATTTTATATTGAGCAATAAACATATAAGCTCTTCACCTCCTTCTAAAAGTAAACAAAGCAGCACACGTCACTTTCTTTAAAAAAAAATCACAAATACCTAAGACACTGAAACTATACAGAAATTAGGTTTTCAAAACTGAAACAGTTTCTTATGGAATAGAAATACTTCTTTTGTCTTTTCAACATTTTTAATCTCATAGCATATCAAAAAATGGCATAAGGTTTTCCTTAGAGATATTCCTAACCCATTTCCCATTCTTCATATCTATAGTATATTGCTCTTTGAACAAAATCTATAAGCAAATAACTTGATGCACCTTGTCCTTAGAATTGACTCTGGCATATTATAATATAAAAACTAAACAGTTTTATCTAGGGGGTGGCTGACAAAATAGGAGAATGCGCTACTATTCAGTACATTCAGTCATGCTCCTACCAAGTACTGAGGCCACGATCAACACACACACACACACACACACACACACACACACACACACACAGTATATTAGCTGAGTTCCACACTCTACTACACTAACTTAAAACTAAGAGAAACTTTAAAAATCGCAAGCAATTTTCTGAATGCCCTCCATCTGGCATGGGACAATAATTCTACTTATTCTATACCAGCCAGGTCACTTATTTCACTTACTCCAAAAATAAATGCTCCACAGAAAAATAGCCACATGTGTGCTTATTTAGGTGAGAATGTGTCCACCTCAGGTGAGCATAAACATTTACTCTTTAAAATAATTTAGGGCACAGTAATTTTGTATTCTTAAAATATAATCACATTTTCTTTTGTTCTTATTGATTAGAACCATCAAAATTATACTGACCTTCATCAGAAGTCAAAATAACAGTGTCTTTCTGAAAGCCCATGACTTCCAAGTGAATTTATTTGGAGTGTATTTCCATTTTTCTTTAATGCACAAGTAGTTACTGACACCCTATTTTTTGAAAGATAAATTAAAACTGGAAACTCCTTATTCTATTTTATTTTCTGCTGAGTTACAATATCTTAGAAAACTACATTTTCCTAGGGTAATTATCATACATTGCATAATATGCTTTGCGGGAGGCTAAGTGAAGAAAGGGATTGATGAAAATTGGCTCCGAGTGTAGAACAGAGATGAGACCAACAGGTGAGACATGGTGTACTTGGTGATTTGGTAAACATGAAGGTATACAAATATGTTTTTTTCTCTAAACAGAGTGTTCTCACAAAATAAGAGCCAGGCAGATTTGTAAATTTTTTCTACTATTTCATTAGTTCGTATTTTACTATTTATTTTACTACTATTTTTTCTACATTCAAAAGTAACTGACATGCATAGTAAACCCTTGAAGGAGGACCTATGTATTAGGAACATTCCAAATTATATGACTAATTAATACTTGGCAATTCAACCTAAATACCATAAATATTCTTCGTTATTTTTACAGTCTATTTTCCCTATTCACCTATTAAATCAATTCGATGTTTACCAATTAATTTGTTGTTACTGGAATTTAAGAGTCTCTCTTCAATTGACGTTATACTATTGCTTCATTTAATATATTTCCTCATAACTAAATCTTACCTTTTTCCTGGACTCACTTGTCTCTCCTAGTAAGTTCACTGTTCTTGCTCAGATTTTGATCTGTTTTAAAAATACTATTACCAAATCACTGACAGTGGGCATTGTCTAATATTCTATTTTCAGTTATAACTTATCATCATCCCTGTAAGAATATACAACTTAGATTTTCTCCCCCTTAGAGCCTCAACCATTAACAGGGTTTATCCGGAATTTTGGATGAGAAACCATGAAGTCTTATTTGATATCTTTTTCCTACCACTCACACAGACACCTATGAAGTCCCTTTGGTGGGTCCTTTAAAACACTGTTGAGATCTTGTTCCTCCCATTCTCACTGCCCTCACTTTATGTACCATAACCCCATAATGTGGCTATTGTGAAAGAAAGCATTAGTAGAAAATAATTATTGAGCAAACCAAGAGTACCAACTGTCTCACTGGACTATAACAATCATCTCTGTACTTTGCTCTTGGAAACTTGGCTGAAATAACTGCAATTCGTAACACAGATCATCACAAAGCTCATCTAAAATTCTGAAACAGTGCAGCACAGGTG